TCATTTTTTAATCGGGACAGAGTATTAATTTTTCGATTAACAATTTTTTGAAGCAATAGAGTCGATTGTCTTTATTCAGAGTTAGGTGTATTTTTATACTTTTTGTTATGTATGCAATACGTATATACATACGTACATACGTAAAACCAAAATGCGTACTAATAAGATTTTGTCTTTTTAATGCAATTTTGAGTACAATACCTTAAATAGATTTAGTTTGACTTCTATTTTTGGCTTTGAACTTTGGTACGTAGACATAAATTTTTAAGATTTTCTTAACCTTTATTTTAATCCGGGCATTCTTTAAAAATTAACATGCTAAATTTATCAACTCTATAGAAATGTCGCAATGTGAGCAATCTAGTACGTACATAATTTTTATTAAATAGTTTTAAACTTTACATAACTATTAATTCTGGTTTTGAATGAAAGTATAGGTTGGTGTTAATCACGATATTGGGCCAAGAGAACTATAGCTAATAGTATACGATTGTTTGTGATACGAATATTAGGAATAATTTACTATTGTAAGAAAAATCAAATGCTGAATTCTTAATATAGTAAATCTAACTTAATTGTTTTTTGATATTGTAATGAGTTCCTTTTATATCAGAATTAGGAATCTCGAAATTATCATATAAAGAAATATTAGCTTTCCTCTTCATACCGGCCTCCACAATCTCTTCTATATCAACATCAGTTATTTGGTTTTGTTCTTCTTGATTGTGATGATTCCAAACCTTTTGAAGTGCCTCGACCCAACTGTTAAAAGTGACGTTGGTAACATCATGAACCTTCTCAGGTTCTTCTGCTTGGTCCGAAGCACTTTGTATAATTGGCGTTAAATAAAATTTTTTATACACAGCAAAGATATGCTTGCACGCCATTCCACGAATTTTAAAATCCATGCATGTGCATTCAAGATGCACTGGTTTTAAATTTTCATTTTGTTGCACATGATTTTTAATACTAACCTCATAATGCCCATCTTTTGCTGATTTTACAAGGTAACATCGGTCACCGGGAAAATTAAATACATCAAGTTCTGAACCAGCAAGCTCACGTTTTCGTTGTTCCCTTTGGTGAGGTTTCATCCTCCCAATCATTAAACGAACGGCTTCACATTCGAACTCTGAATCTTTCAAGGCATTCCTTAAGGTCCATATCAATGTATTAATTCTGTTATTTTGCTTAGCTGCAAAGTAAGTATATTTTAATTTTTTATGCCATGATTCAATAAAGTTAGTTGTATTCATTTCTTGATGTTCATATAGGCGGTATGCATCAACTCATCTTTCGCAATTGCCCTGATACTCTTTTTTAATATACTCTACCCATTTTATTTCATTAAATCCTGCCCACCTTGCTAAATATTCGTCGAATTTGCTTTTTACCTGGTGAACATTACGAATTCGCATTATGTCATTAAGTTCGTCTAGCGCTGTCTTTTGCACTACTTGTTTTTCTGATCGTTTAAAAATGGTACCATCCTTTTCATTTTTATTTTGTGCTTTAAAAAACTTGCTATCACCATTAATTTTACTTCTGTTTCTTTGCCAGGCATTTTTAACATGCCACTGACACAACAGGATCGTGGCCTCAGGGTATATGGTGTTAATAGTATACTGTTGTGCGTCGTCACAATCAGTAAGAAAAATGTGAGGTTTCCAATTCTTGTTTTGTTTTTTAATAGCATCAAGCCAATAGGTTAACGTTTCTTTTGACTTCTTTTCTGAAATTAAGTGAGCTACAGGTATCCCGTGTCCACCAACATCATCTCAAATAACCATGGTAAAGAGATTTGTCTTATGCGAAGTTGTTCCATGAGTGCCGTCAAGGCAAACTGTTTATGCACTCTTTAGTTCTAACATTTTCCTTTGGAACTCTGTTTGGAATGCATACATAAACCCTAAAGATGAGCCTCAACTCGGATTATCACAGGTATGAGAACCGTCTTCTTTTGATAAAGCGACCTATTCTTTAACAGATGTACTTTCATTATAACCTTCATTTTTATTTCTTAAAAAAACTATGCCTTTCATTTCCTCACTAACGATATTATATACATCAATATATGAAATATATAAGTCTCATTTTTGTACTAAAGGTAAAGACTCTAAGTCTTCTGCATTGTGAGTCTGATTAATATGCTGGTGAAATAACGAAACAATTTGAGAGGGCTTCATTCCATCTTTTGCCCGTCCGCGAATCCATTCCCTTGCCTCCTCAGATATTTTAAAATAGCGTAGATCTTCAATATTACCAGGATTGTGACCATGATGTAGTGTATAGTGGATAATACAAACACTATTGCCTTCTTCACCGTGGTATTTTAATACACGTATGTAAGACTTGCAACCTGTCTTTTTCGATGGCTTTTGAACAGGACGAGCTTGAGGGGTCTTTTCAAATAGATTGTGATGATAGTTATATTCTGCTATATTCCTAGTATGTTATTCAAAATTGTTCATACGATTCTGAAAACTAATAGGTAGAAATTCTACATAATCGACAACAAATATTACTATCAGATTTCAGAAGAGCATCAGTAATTAGATCATATTTAGATAAGTGATAGTAAACAACAGGTATATTAATTAGAAAATAAGGTTTCTTTATATAGGATTGGAATAGATATAGACTAATAAAGAGGTGATAGATATATGTAAGAGGTATAATAATCAAGAGATGATCTGATAAAGTTAAATATAATAGATGTAATTATATATTTATAACGATTTTAATAATAATGCAGTGTATATTTTAAGTAAGTTTTAACAATAGAGGATACAATAAAATAGGTAATTTAATAAGACTGTGAAGATGTCTTCATGATAATACAATTAAAAACAATGCTGTGAAGATATATTCACAATGAATAATCAAGGTATCAAGATAAGAATTCAATAATTTTAATTATAACAAGTCAAGTATATAAGAGATTGAAGTCTAGAAAGTCTTTATTAAAGGTTGAAATCAAATCTTTAAATACACAAATTCATATATATAAATTAATATACTACTCTATTGTCAGGTTATCTTTCCAGGACCCTGAGCAATCTATGTAGGGGTAAGAGTTTTAAAAAATTACTAAAAATAGAAAGATTTGCATAAAAATAGTCAAAAATAAGCATATATCTTACTTAAAATAGAAAAGATCTGCAAAAAAACAGTCAAAAATAAGCAAATTATATTCTTATCTCTATATAGATTACTTTGGATTCTATCTTTCTCTCTATTGTTTATCTTGCACTTTCTATAAAATCCTTCCATCTATCTTTTCCTTTAATAATGTCTTTGTTTCCTCCACTTATTATACAGCATTCTGATAATAAGTAAACACTCTTTAATTATTAGAGATCATTTAAGATATCAGGTAACTATTTTCCTGTTTCAATTTTGACGATTTACACACACTACGGGCATTTACTGGAACCAATAAACAAACAACGGAAACAATCACAAGAAAAAGATTCTATCTAAATAATAATTTTAATAATAAATGACTTCGTATCTGTCAGTTATGTATAGGAGACCAAATATAGTAATAGAAATACGCTATGTATATAGAGAATACAAAATAGGAAATGAATAATCTAATAAAGTATTACTAAAATAAGAAGAAAAGGAAAAAGAGAAATTCTCAATGATCACTCATACCAAACTTACAGCTAACGAAAACAAAAACTTGTTGGAAAAAAGTAGAAGAGACAACTACAATAATGATTTTTACAGAGGTCAAGGTTTTTGTTTTTATTCTCCCGGACTCCTTTGTATATTCAGTATGCAAGTTAAAAACATTCTTGTACAAGATTACTGGCAAGAAGGTGGTGCCTTTGTACAGAAAATTTTAATAGAAGCTATGCTTCTGCTGACGAAGTTAAAGATAGTTGGTCTAAGGAGAACAACAAGCGAGTTTTCAACACACTCTCTACCGAAGTTTAAGGATACCTGCATACTGAAACCTATATCTAACTTCACTCTTTGCACTTTTCGAAAGTTTTACCAAAAAGTGGGAAAAACGGTGTACTCCTATCGATTGATCGACAACAACAATCACTGCTGAAAAAGGAAAGTCATGTATAGGAGTATGTGTCTACTTTTGGATTATAGCATTACATCGGTTACCTCAAGAGGTTATAGTGTTTACACCAAGATCTACAAAAGCTAAAAAGCATAGGTTGCTTAACTTTGCCCAGAGACAAGCACTAGCATGAAAATATGTTGCAGGATACCGCACTGAACTCAGTGGGACTGCAAGAGAAATTTCAGACTTGGCCTCTACTAAGAATAGATATTTTATATATCTTAATATAGACAATAAGTAACTAGCATAGAGTTTAGACTAGATTATTTAGTAGTCTATATAATTTTTACAATCCAACACAGGTTTAATAATGCTATATTTGTTTTCTTTTCTTTTATTTTGTTTTTCTTTTATATGTTTTTTAGTTCTATTTGTTTAGGCAAATTAAATCTAGACACCAAGATATCACCCCTTTTTTTTCTTGCCCTTTGTTTTGTGTCTATATTTTGTAAAAAAGATAATACTGATAGGCGTGTGGCACTGGCCAATGATCGAAGAATTCATGCCTCTAGGAAGTTAGAGGCCCGGAGAGAGGCAAACAGCCACTAGGCGATGTCGCACCTGGGCTTTAAGCCGAGTGAGTCACTTGTTGCGGTTAAAGAAGAATTAGCTATAGTTAAATTCTTGTATTTTGCTTGGTTACCATCTTAATAAAACAATGGCAGGACATGCCGAAAAAAAAAAAAAAAAAAAGAAAAGAGAAATCAAGTAACGGTTCACAACGGATGATAGACGTACGGCAAAGGCGCAGAAAAATTTTCACATGACGATAGTAACACCGTCTAAGCGATGTTTAAACAAACACTACGTACCCGCAACGGAATGATCTACAAAAATTACAGTAACACAAATCAAATAAATATATTTCAGATTATCGTTTATCTTTATCACTGTTTTAAACACCATTTAAATCATGGATCCTAGAACTATTGGAGTATTGGGTGGTGGTCAGTTGGGTAGAATGTTAGTAGAAGCAGCTTCACGGCTAAATATAAAAATTGTAATTCTCGATACATCAAGTAACGCTCCGGCCAAACAAATACAAGCCACCCAAACGCATATTCATGGAGACTTCAAAGATCCTTATAAAATCAAAGAACTTGCCAAAGCAGCTGATATTTTAACAATAGAAATTGAACATGTAAATGCTGATATTTTGGAAACTCTGATGAATGAAAATGCTGTTTTAGTGCATCCTTCTCCTTCTACAATTAGACTCATTCAAAATAAATTCTCTCAAAAAACCCATTTATCCAAACACAACATTCCAGTTGTAAATTTTATTGATGTCCCCACAAAAGATGATTTATTAATTGCAATCGAAAAATTTGGGTATCCTTTAATGCTGAAATCTAAAACCCTCGCGTATGATGGTCGTGGTAATTACCTTTTACGCACTGAAGATGAAATATCAAATGCTTTGGAATCTTTAGGAAATTTCAAAACGCCGTTATATGCTGAAAGATGGGCTTCGTTTACTAAAGAGTTGGCTGTTATGGTTGTTAGAAGAGCTAATGGGGAAGTCAAAAGTTATCCTGTAGTTGAAACAGTGCAAAAAGAGAATATTTGTCATTTGGTTATTGTACCGGCTCAAGTAAATGATTTAATCTTAGAAAAAGCTAAAACTATAGCAGAAAATGCCATATTAACTTTGGACGGCGCTGGAGTTTTTGGCGTTGAAATGTTTTTAATGAATGATGGTATAATTTATTTTTTTGTACACAATGTTTTTTCTTTTGTATTCTTCTTGATAATAAAGGACTTACGTTGAATATAACATCGTTATAGGTCACATATATGTGAATGAGATTGCACCACGTCCTCACAATTCAGGTCATTACACAATTGAAGCATGTGAAACTTCTCAATACGAAAATCATATACGTTGTATATTGGATCTTCCGTTAGGTAGCACTGCTCTAAAAGTACCCGCTGCTGCAATGATAAATGTTCTTGGAAAATCTGACGATTTACAAGAAACCTTACGCCCATGTGCTGAGTCATTATCCATTCCTGGCGTTACTATTCATTTATATGGAAAACAGGATTGTAGAAAAGGTCGAAAGATGGGGCATATCACCGTTGTATCTGATTCTATTTCACGATTATTTTTAAGAATTAAACCAATACTAGAAGCAATCAATGAAAATGAAAGTGATATTTTGACCACGATGAAATTCAAACCACTTGTTGGAATTATAATGGGTTCTGATTCTGATTTGCCAGTTATGAAACCTTGTGCTGAAATATTAAAATCATTTGATGTCCCATTTGAGTTATCGATTGTTTCGGCACATAGGACACCACATAGAATGTTTGAGTATGCAAAAAATGCCCATAAAAGAGGACTAAAAGTTATTATAGCTGGTGCCGGTGGTGCTGCCCATTTGCCTGGAATGGTAGCTGCTTTGACTCCACTGCCAGTTATTGGTGTACCTGTTAAGGGTAAAACCTTGGATGGTTTGGATTCTTTATATAGTATCGTGCAGATGCCGGTAAGCCACCTTGTATTTGTTATTTGGAAGTTTGTTGAAAGAAATCAACTTCTTAAATTGATTTCTTATTACTTAGAGAGGAATACCTGTAGCCACTGTAGCAATTAATAATTCAACAAATGCTGCAATCTTGGCGGTTAGGCAACTTGGGGCATTTATTCCTGGGTATTTAGAGAAAATGCAAGAATTTATGGAAAAACAAGAGAATGAAGTTTTGGCGAAAGTTGATAAGTTAGAAGAAGTTGGTTGGGAAAGTTATTAATTATAAATCTGTTAATTATAATATCTTTATTCGGCATTGTTAAATCACGCCACTGGTGTTTAACACCACTATAATTTTTGTCATGAGCTGCAGTGTAACGTGAAGATCAGGTGTAACACAAAAATTTTGTTTATTTTTTAAAAAATGGTTATGAAACTATCTTTGGAGCTCTAACAAAAAATTTTCTTGCAAAATTTTGGTATAAACTTATTTTTGTCCCATCTTAGACCTCATTCATAACCCTAATATTAATCAAAATTTAATTTTGTTTTGATAAAATTTATTTTGTCCACAGGTGCGATATATAATTTTTGGTTTTATTCTTTTATCAAATATAAATCTATAATTACTAATTTTGTAACCATAATAAACAAAATAATAAACTATTAACGTTATAAACAGCATTATCATTTGATTTTTTTTTATTAAATAATTAGAATAGAACAATAGAATTAAATTCTGTTGTTTTAATTGTTCTATTGAAACTTCTTAAAAATATATGTTTTTAAAGAGTTTAAAAAATTTGATAAAAAGTATAGATAGAATTTAGTAAGTATTATAGGTTTAAATAGAGAATTCCAAGTTTCAGCCACAATAATTATTACTATATAGTACATAATTAAGAATGACAAAGTTTTTTATTATATAATTAAAAACAGGTGATAATTATGATATAACTGTCACAGATTATCATTAAAATGAAATAAGGGGAGGGGTTTTTATTTGACTCACTTATACTTGTTTATTATAAAACCTGCTTCTAAACCCTAATTCTAACCCTAAAAAATGCATTTCAAAAATTTGTATTTTTCAGTAGCTTGTTTATTTTACACTATTTCTCATCTGATTTCATTTTAATCTTAATCTGCCACATTAACTATATTAATTCAGATTGAAAACTGTGACAGATTAAAATAAAATCAGATTAAAATGAAATGAGAGATAGTGTAAAATAGACAAGCCACCGAAAAATGCAAATTCTTGAGGTATATTTTTTTAGCATTTTTTTAGGGTTAGGATTAGGGTTTAGAAGCAGATTTTATAATAAACAAGTATAAGTGGGTTTTAGAGGCTCAAATAAAAACTTTTCATTTCATTTTAATCCGATTTCATTATGATCTGCGACAATATGTAATTACTAATAATAATCAATAGCAATTTTCTAAAAAATAATTTATATAGTAATTGAATTTAACTAACTTTAACTTATTTAATTACCTATAATTTATTATAAATTTTCATTTAAAATTAAAATTAATATTAAAAAATAATACTGTATTAAAAGAATATTACTAAATATTACTAACTATAACTGGCGGTGTTATCGCCAATTCACATCGGGGGTACTAAGCAAAAATGTTCAGAACCTCCAAAACTTAACTTTAACTAAAATTTGGACCTTTATATCTAACTCTACCTTATCATAAAACTGCACCTAACCTTAAAAATAAGAGGTGGTGATGATTACCGCCGGTTATTTGTAGTAAAAATTAAATTAGAAACAGTTATAATTGGGATGGAGTTAGGGTTAAGGCTAGAATGAGATTTTTTGTAGTGCTAAACATTTTTACTAGTATATCAAATATAGTTATTTAAGCTGTTTTTGAATTATAATAAAAGGGTAATGTTAATCAGGAAGGGGTTTAGCTATATTTAAAATAAATATTTAAAAATTATACAAAGTTAATTACTTGGTTTCATAATATAAAATTTTTAAAAAAATATGGTAACTAGTTTTTTTAAAATTTTATACAGTATATAAACTTTTATAAATTTTTTTAAATAATCTATTTGGTTATTTTATAAAATTTCAAACTTAGTTTATGGAAACTAATTCATTAATTTTATACAACCTTATAAAGATCACTAAAATTATAGAGAATATTGCTTACATTCCTGGGATATTCTATAGAATAGGTGGACAATATAAGAAATAAGCTTCGCTAATGATTATTAATCATTAATTTTTAATAGCGGAGTTTGCGGAGTTTGCCCATCTATTCTATAGAACATTCAAAACGGATATTAAAAACGTTTTTTAAGCTTTAGAAATATATAAAAGTTATAAGCATTACATTAAATTTAATGTTTCAAATTTAATTTTAAAAATGATCTTATTAAAAAAATTTTCAAGAAAAATTTCCAGAAGAAACGGTTTAAGGAAGATTTGTGTTAGCTAGAGTAGAATTAGACTATATCGATATTCTTGTATATAACTCCATATAGATTATTAAAAATGTTCTTAATAAATATTTGATAGATTATCACCTTTGACTATTTTAGTGAAACATCTGTTGATTATTATGCAGTACGACCATACAGATATATTTACGCAATGTAAATCATAAATTTAAAGACGTAACGTACGTACGTACGTACGTATGTTACATAGGTTTTCACTTTTTTTCTGCGGTGTTACTGATAGATGTAAATTTATTAAATTTATTAATTGCACGATATATTAACAAAAATTTGATATCCCGATTTATAAACATTCATCCATAACCTCCGTCCTTTACATTCACGTACAAAAACTTACCGAAACTTATCGATATTTGTATTTATTAAAAGTTTTAGATTTGCATGCGTCTTAAAGGCAATTACCAAATCATTAAAAATTTCAAGTATTTAAAAAACCGCATTCGTAATAAAACAAAAATTAGGATTGTTAGAAATAATTTGATTACTTTTTTTCAGTCATGACTAGATAGGATTAGACAAAATGTCAGAAAGTAAGGTTCAAGAACTAATTGAAATTGTTCAGAATTCACTTGAAGAGGACCCTAGAACCGTAAGATTGGGAATGAGGGATATTCGCGAAATTCCACTTGAATTGATTAATCTGACAACTTCAAATAATTATAAAATTGAAAGGTATTTTTTGTTTTGAAAGATTCATTCAGCTAGAGAATAAAATGAAATCAACCCAATTAATTTATTTTTTCTTATAGACTTGGACTTGAAACAAATCATTTGTCAACACTTCCCACAGAAATTTGTAACTTAACATATTTAAGATATCTAAATGTTTCTAATAATGAGTTTAAAACATTTCCTGAGGCGGTAACCGTAATTTACATATTTTATATTTCATGTACTAAACTCAGTATTAACCAATATCTTCGTATTAAATGTCTGTCTTACAGCTATGTTTAATTTCAAGTTTGGAGATATTGGACATTAGTAAAAACAAAATTAAGAACTTACCAAAGGATTTTGGAAATTTGATGTCATTGAAGGTTAACTAATTTAAGTTTATTCTTGTATGCTATTATCTTTTTCATATTATTGTTATACGTCGAATGATGAACGCGTTAGGATTTTATTATGGCATACATTAGGAGTTTGTCGCTATTGATGTAATGTGAAATCTTAATTGGTATACAACATGTATCAAGCTATGATTCAATTTCAAAAATATCGTGAATTAATATAACACTTAAAATGAAGCAAATGAAGATTGTTGTCCTTACACTACGTCAGTAGCGATCAAGTTCTAAGCACTATAATCATAACTTGAAAAAAGTAGAGATTTGACGTTTAACACTGTAATTTAATCAGAAACAGTAAACCTAATTTGTTTATAAAATTTTAGCTATTAAAAATATCCAGAAATCTTATAAAGAAGCTTCCTATTTATATCGCAGATATGAAAGAATTACAATATTTAAAAATTGATAATAACCCAATCCAATTTCCTCCAAAGAATATCCATATGATGCCAAAAGGAGAAGATAAAGAAATCATGGTACCTTGGTTAACTAAATTAAAAGAATATCTAAGGCAATATGCAGGCAAGCTATTTATTTTTAGCATTTAAAATTTTTAAATAATCTCTAAATGTATTCTGTATTATGTAGCTGGACGAAATTCTGAAATGGAAGAAAGCGATAATAGCAGGTTTGTCATAGAATGATCCATTTATAAATTGATCTATTCGTAAACTAACACTTTAATATGTGGATACTGGCGGATTTTTATTTAGTAATAGTGAAAATGGAATTGAACGAGATATAATAGCACGTAGTAAATCATTGAAGAAAACTACATCAGTCGATACACACCTTCATCCAACTTCTAATTTTCTAAACGCAAGCACAAAAACTGAAAATGGGCAGGTGTCATCCAAACTTGAAAAGAAACGGCCAAATTCTAAACTAAGTTTAGATTTTCCGATAGCACGTCGTGAAAGGAGTTACAGTAATGACTTTGATTCTATGTCAAAGAACCTTCGGAGTACATTTATCCGGACTCATTCAAAGAGTTATTCGCAAGATTCAATAAGTTCACATGGTAGCCAAAATGGCATTTCAGAAGAGCATAGTAGCGACTTTTATTTTCATAAACTTAAAACACTTCCTCCAGTTGATAATCTTCCAATGAGCAGTTTATCTTTAAGAGAGGCTAGTCGAAACGTTTTATACGCTCTGTCTCAAATACATAAAGCGATGTATCAATTCATATCCTTTACTGGCAGCGAAAGGATTTTTTTTACAGAACTTAATAAAACAAATGCATCAATAGGACAACTAAGCATGAGATTACAAAGATTTGACATTTTTTCACAGAAAGCTGCACCAGACGCTGATCATTGCATTAAATTACTCGGATCATGCCAAGAAAATATAACAAATTTTAAAATTCTTTTAGATTTATTTAACAAGCGTATCAAAACTTTAACACAATCACCAGATAACCTACGATATTCGCGCACGCTTCTATTAATATTTCATGGTTCCATAGTAGATATTAAGTTTGCATGGGAAAATATCTTACCTCTTTTAAATAACAACATGCCTTTTACAGGAATACCTACACCCATACGTTCAAAGTCCATATCACGTTCAAATAGTACCAGTAGTCTTAATGGGTATTCCTACTCTAATGGACTTTTGTCTAATGGTTCCTCGCACACGAATGGAATCAATATTTCTTCTGCTGGAATGTCAATAACAAATAATTCTCATACTGATGTCACATTTCCACCCTTGATATTTGAACAAATGCTTACAAAAGTTGATACAGCTATCAAGTGGGTTGAAAATGTCGGAAAACATTTAACTGAACATCTCGAGAATGCTCTTGGTTCATCAACCGATGTTCCTGCATCTCCTGTAAAAATAAAATTGAAAGAGATGAAATTACATATGAAAAACGTGTTGGACGTAACAAGACAATTGAAAAAATCTTTATTGGCTGCAAGATTTTTACAAAATGAACATTTGAACATACAACTTAAAGTTTATAGTACCACGATCGTGTTTCTCCAGGTATGTTGAGTGTTTTGACTTAATAGTCTGTTTGAAGACTGAAACTAAAGATTATTGATATTATTGATGTACACTAGGCAACTGTAAAAATGTCTACATTAGCTAAAGATATTTCACAAGAATGGCGACTTAACACCAAAATTATGTCAGGACTAGGACATGTTACTAAATCTAACATTGAACTGTCAAATTTTCTTCGAGCAATTGAATACGGGGAATTGCCTATTCGCATGCCGCCACCTCCACCTCCAAGTGAGGCAGAATCGGAAAAAAGTGATGACTTTATGGTTTATAATGAAAATTTTTTGGATCAGAATGTTAATTCAAAATCAAAGACTACCTATGAAGAATCAACAGAGAATTCTAATTTAACTGCCGATGGGTCTACTATTCACGACTAAGATAAAATTAGTAAACCTAAGATGTTATGTGTTAATTATTTCATGTTTTGTACTGTCCAAATAAGATATTCTTTGTAATTTGTCCCACATTTATGTAAACGTTATTATCGTTACATATTAACAACTAGGGCATCATATGATATTTATACTTTGTCAATCTTTGTCAATAGATTAATTCCAATCTTAGGTTATAATCTATATAAAGATCACTTTCTGATTATTAATATTTATTTTTTTCGCCTGTGTAAATTATAAAAAAAAATTCTTAAGCACAACCAGTTGTCGAAATCACGCGTTTCATATGATTTTTGCGACATAAATTTCGACATGTCTAGATGGCTATGCGATTACCATAACAAACTCAAAATATAAAAATTCTATAAGAAGTCTTCATATGATTCAAGGATCCATATCAAAAAGAGATAAGAGCATGTCAATTATTAGCTGAGATCACTTTGCAATAGAGCTTACCCCTCTTCCTCTCGAGAAATTTAGTCATTCTGATTTGTCATGTGTATATATTTAGACCCGAGATTTTGTCCATCTTATAATATCAGCTGATATCTGGCATTTCTCTAATCAAATTTGATCATGAAGAATATTAACTAATTGCAAGAAAGCAGAATATATGTCCTCTAGATTCATACGTATTATTATGTTAAAGCTTAGTATGGATTCAAGGTAATACATATTTTAAAAAATTTTATTTAGTACGAAATTATATTCTAACTTTAACTACTGTGTAGATTTTCAACTAAACATTAATAACAATATATTAATAAGTTCAATAATGAATTCCTTTATATCAATTAATGCTAATAATAACATTCTGGAATTCACATATTTTTGATTAAATGTCATATTTTGGAGAATAATGCTAACGATTGGAATGTAGCGATAGACTTGCGTTTTGCTTATAATATTCCCGATTCTATAATGTAATATCATAAGTATAGAGCTTAATCTATTAAAAAATATTTATATTAAAAAAAAAAAAGAATAAAATAAAATGAAAATTTACTATAAAATTCTATCTGATTTGTTTACTGTCTCTCGATTTATTACCAAACATCTCAATTAATTAAATAATTAATCACCGTATATAAAAATAAAGTACCAATAATATAAAATACATAAAGAGAAATTATCTAAATTTTCAACACCTTTACATATTATATAGAATAAGTACAAATATCAATTATGATCATTAATCCTAGAGGTGCAGATATTGCCGTAATTAGGTCGTAACTTAATTACCTCAATAAAAATAATCTAGTTTAAAATAGGTCGTAACTAATTACGACAATATGCCTGCACTTCTAATTAATCCCTAATTATCGCTTTTCGTCGTAATCACCAAATTATCTCTATGAATAACACATTCAGAATCAGCATATCCTAATATTTGTTCAATATCGGAACTTTGACATCCTTTGATTCTAGAAATCTCAGCAGAAGAATAATTTACGAGCCCTTTGCCAATCATTACAACTTCAACATCATTTATATCGTCATGCTTTACGGTTCTTTCGATCTTTAAATCAACAGCTTGATGAGCAACAAAATATCCTTCTATCTTAACGATCCCAGCTGCGAACAAACTGCTTTTTTGGCCCACTTTTGCAATTGCTCTAACAGCACCTTCATCAATAAATATTGTGCCAACAGAGTGTAGCCCATGTAATATCCACCACTTACGATCTAACATCGGATTGTCTTTGGCGAGAAATCGTGTGTGAAGAGGTAATGTTACTGAAATTTGTTTATCGTTAGTGGGAGACTGATTAATGATAGATATTATATTTTTAGGCGCTGACCCACGACATATGATTGTTGTTACGCCAGCCGCTGTTGCAAGTTCTGCAGCAATTAATTTTGTTACCATTCCACCCGTTCCAAGTGAACTCCCAGGTGATGAAACAATAACTGATATGTAATGATATAAAATTACTTATAGATCAGATTAAAAAAAAATTATAGATACTACTTGAATTTTGTAGATTCAAACCTTTATCTCTTAAAGCATTAACATCTTCAACCACTTCCACAGGTTTAGCGTTTGGATTCGTCATGGGATTATCAGTATACAGACAATCAACATCTGTCATCAAAAATAAATAATCGGCATTAACCATTCCAGCTGCTATGGCTGAAAGAGTATCATTATCACCAAATTTGATTTCCTATTAAAGTATTTAAAAAATTTTATTGATAAATAAATTTTAAAAGAGTAAATATTATTATTCTCATTTAGCAATTAACTACTTACGCTCACGGAAATGGTATCATTCTCGTTAACAATAGGAACTACACCCATGCTTAATAATTCAGAAAACGTATTAACAGCATTAAGATATTGTGTACGCTATTAAATATTCATAACTATCTTATTAAAGAAAATTCCAATGTCTCCTGAAAAAGCAAGATTGTATTAGAAGAAATTTGTAAATACATCTGCCAGATCATGCCTAGTTAAAAGGACTTGTGCAATCGGCTGATTCAATTGACTAAACAAATCATCATACATTCTCATCAATCTTCCTTGACCAACCGCCGCTACGGCCTTTTCAAATCCAATTAAACAAATAATAATTATCATTATAACTTTAATCGATAATGTGAATCATAATAAAAACAAATTTAACTATTTACTTGAATTTCTTTCAATTTTTTCGGTTTTTTATCCATATTTAATCGTCTTAAGCCTATTCCTATAGCACCACTTGTGACCAAAACAACTCTGTGACCCATAGAACGTAATTTTACTATCGTTTCTACTAGAAGTGAGAGATTAGATAGCAACGGTAGATTCGTTTCTATGTCACATATTGAAGATGTACCAAGTTTTATTACTAAAGTTAATAACTGAGAGTTTCCAGTACGAGGGTTCTTGGACATGTTTAATTTCCTAGAATTAAAGTCCAGATTTATCGTTATCTATGTGATTGGCTTCAAAAAATTTCGTTGACAAATCAAATTTCAGGATCAGGTGCAACACCTGCATTTTTACAGAATCACGCAGAACACTACTAGGCAGGGATGTTTTTTAAATATTAAAATTGCTCAAATTTTATTAAGATAACCTATTTCAACTTTCTAAATAAAAATGTTTAGACTTAAATAAAATATATAATCATGTTTCTTTAAAATAAGGTTTTTTTAATTATCAAAGCTTAGATGAGCTTTGGACACTTGGACGTTTGGACGTTGGACATGGCTTTGGACATTAGGTATTAAGGTTATTATTTACTCAATGTGGGTGAAGCTTTTCTAACTCTAGACAGCAATCAACAAAATCTATCAGAAAGTTCTTTACATAATAACAAAATTAATAGTTAAAATTTGTTATCGTTATTATAATTTCCATTTTCCAATAAACAAATCGAGAAATATATAAATAGCACAGAATTATAATGCACGGAATTGGCAATTTATTGCCGCAGAAAACATCGCCTCTGCTCATTTTAATTTGAGCACAATAAATGAGCGCACTAATGAATAAACTATTCAAAAATTTTTTTTTATGAAATCCACCTTTATGGTTTTCCCTTAGACCCATTCACGTTATGTCTACCAGTGTTTTTCTTAATAAATCTATATAAATTGTTCGGTTAAGTGCTATACTGCACTGATTATAGCCAATTAAATAAAAGGATCAGGTGTAACGTGAAAATCACGTCTTTTTGGTATAAGCTAGACGAAATATAACCCTCTGGGAAATGTCAATTGACTTTCCCAAGGTCCCAAGAGTCAGACATTTGACAATTTGAAAACTCCGTCATAATCAAAGATAATACCCGTTAATTACTGCGCCATATGGGGCCGTTATGATATTATCTTGTAAGGAAATAACGTGTTAAACCCATTGATTACTGCGCCACACGGGGGCCGTTATAAAATTTTTTTGGGTTCTGTAGGAGTTTCTAGGTGCAAGTAACACCAAACATGTGTACATTATTGGGCAAAAATTTGTGAATAACGGCAATTTGGCAAATGAACACGTGCCACTTTGCGGCATGTGCAGCCAATCATTTGCTAAATTACCGTATTCGCAATTATGATCATGATTGGTAGAGCAGGGGTGAACGTCCCATCAATTTGAAGATCGTTACACAATTGATAAAAATTTTTTTTATATTATTTTAAAGTACTTTTTTAGGAAGTTGGCGTAACCTAAGGCTGCTATGAAACGTGAGCAAGCCACTAAGCAAACTTGAAGCTTTAGTGCCGTACTATAACATATTCGCTTAATCCCTATTAATCCCACAGTGTTCATATTTAATTTAACTGTTAAATTATGTCTGAAATTAAGGAATGCGTAGAGTGCAAAGCCACAGAATCGCCCAAATTTCGAGCGTTAAAGGCAGAAATGTGGAAGAACGCTGAAAGTAAAGGTTTAACAAAGGTAACGTGGAAGGAAGAGGACATTTTGTGTAATCGCTGTTACATGTGTTTTGTAAAAAATCCTTTAACAAAAAGTACTAAACGAGTAAGAATCACAAATGAGAAATCTAGGGAAGCAGAAATTATAGCGGATGAAGATATAGAAGCTGTCTCAGGTGAAAGCATGAAAGCCACGAGTGAGAAAAAAGTAAACATGATAGATCTTACTGGTGCTATTAAGGTGATAGCAAAAATATTTTATAATAGAGAGCACGTAAAAAAAGAACGCCCGATCTATGCATTTGATGAAATGCGAAAGTTTCTTCAAGAAAGTGAACCAAGCTTAGAAGATTTCTTTGATCAGCTTTATTCAGCAGCTCGGTCGTGTGAACATAATGAGCAAACTATGAATCATATGAAAAAATTAATGGTTCTTATTTGTTATTTGCTTGCTTCATTAAATAACATGAAAATTAATGCCTTTAAGTTAGATATTGCAAATTATCTAGATTCGGTAGGAACGATGAATGAAGGTGTGAACACAATGGCAAATATCGGTGTATCTACAACATCAAGGGCAGTAACTCAGCGAAAGAAAAGAATGTCTGATGCTCATGAAGAATACGTGGAGAATGCACTTTTTCGGCATATGGGGAATGCACTTGTGTTGAACATTGACGACTATCATAATATCCATGTTCCACATCACTCTGACACTACTGCGATTTCCAGGCCAACACATATGGCGACTATTTTGGTGAATCCATGCTTAACTCCAGCAATACCGTATAATGGTGCACTTAATCCAAAGTTTTTGGATAGCAACTTGATTGTAAAACATCTTAATAGTCGATTTATCGTGAATCTTGGCATTTCATATAATGACCGTATGGAGAGCACAAGGAAGGTATGTACTGATGAAGAACTAATAAATAGCCTAATAATACACAGTTATGATGACAGGCTCGCAGAGGCAAGTAACGATCGACATATACGTCATTCCATCCTTATCGACTTCGTTCAAAAAAGTTTAAAAAATATTGGAGGATATATGGATGCTATTCAAACATTATACGATAAGGAACCTATGCAACAATATCTTTCTAATTATGCGGTTCCTATCATTGCGGACTGGCCAGGCCAGTTTTTCATTCGTAAAGCTATTGCGCAACGACTTCTGCGCAATAACGAAAGCATTCCAGAGTTCGTTATGTCATTTTTGCCAATTATGGGACCTCTTCATGTGTCCTTGAATGCCCATGAACTGGTTTATATGAAGAATTCCTTTCTATTTATTGATATTTACAGAGGCATATTTGGAAAAAATAAAAATCCCGGTAAGACGCCACGGCCGTGGAGAATTAATTTAATTCTTCACATCGTACGTATAGCGTGGTCTAATATTATCGATGCGGTTTATTCTAAGTTTGGTAATACATATAAAAATATCGAATTTTTGTATCTAACTGATCTTCTAAGCAATTTAGTTCCTCTGGCTCTAGACGTTTATGCCGTGCATCATCATGAGGGAGATTGGTCTGCTTATGAGGAAGCATGCATGCATTGTTGGAGTGATCTTTTTCTCCGATTTGATCAGAAAAATTACAAATGCGCTCCCTTGATGTTCTTCTCGGACGTCTTTTATTGGATGGAAACTGGTCATCCAATGTTTAATATTATTACTAACCATCTAGCTTCCCTCAGTGATCATCCTGTTGAAATTGCGCATAGCATTATTCGAAGACGTACGGCTAAGTATTTTACAGCTCAGCAATTGCGAAAAGAGGCGCACTGTATTTTCCAGCAACAGCATGACAATTTCTTTCAGGAAAATTTTGTACATTCTACAAAATATCCGTACACGCTGCAACAGTTGGACATGCTTTCTCAGAAGTGTTCTATACGGCTTTTAGAAATATTCGCCAAGGTGTACCGGAATCGTGACAAGCAGCCTATTATTAAATCCTCGAAAGATGGTATCAATATATACCAGTTACCTTCGTTAAACTACGAAGTGACAGATCATCACCTTCCGAGAGGTTTTGTCACTTCTAAAAAACCCAATATATCCATTTTATGTGATTCGATGTATTGCAACAAGATTTACGATTTATCTAATGGTTGCGTTTTGGCATGTGGGCATGGCTATCATAATTATTGCTTACAAAAATCATATTTTAAATGTCTTATATGTTTAGGTTATCTTCAAGATGAGGTTAAGAAAAACATTGATGCACTAATGGTAAGTATGAATGGCAAATTAGTTGAAAGTGAATCAATTGATGAAGAAGATAAAAGCGTAGATGTGAGTTGTTCAGATGATATAGACAAAATAATAGACAATGAAGTCGAAATAGGAGATTTATTAAAATATGTAAAAATTACATTCCAACAATTGTAATAAAAGTTATACAATAAAAAAAAAAAAATTTCTAAAATATATAATAACTAAATTACTCGCTAAATAATGACTAAATTAATATCTAATACTAATACTATCTAATACGTTATGATCGACGCCCGATATGCATGATGTCGATCACGCCGTGATTTGTGTAACTATTGACGTTCACCCCTGCTGATTGGTAGGGAATGGTTGACTGAGTTTTAATTTGAATAAACACGATTACATCGTATCACATGAAAAAAATAACGTGCAGAAATTTATTTATGATCATAAGAGTTTGCCGGATAATGTACGTACGATTTTGACAAATCAAGTCGTACAATATTTGGTGTTACTTGCCCCTTCTCCCCCTCGCTCACTCCCACGTGGCGCAGTAATCAATGGTTTTATCAGTTATTTTCCTTAAGACTAGTATTAAAACCTTTCATCATATGACGGGCTAATTGATATAGAATAAACGCTACAAACGAATGTTGCAAAGACCGTTATACGTATAATGAGACATTCGGTTATATTAATTGAATGGT